CTCTAACAGAAAGATTGTTTAGCAGCAAACGGGTTCTATAACTATGACAAGTTGTTGACCGAACGCAGTTGCCTACTGATACAAATAGGTTCGTTTGTGAGTGTTATCCTTTTAAATGTTGTCATGGTGTTTATTAACAATCTCGTGTGCACAGGTTTCCACTGTGGCTTCGACTGAAACAGACGAGTTGCCTTGTTCTGCATTCGTTGCAGAAGGTTTATGTTAGTTTTAGTTGTGCATGACCAAACTGGGCTGCAATAATCAATGTGAGATAGTACAAGGCATTCTATTACAATTTTTAATATTTTGTAACATCCAAATACCGCATCACGAAATCGTGGTAGTCACTATTCTCATTGCATTGTAGCAAATCCTTCCCACGAAAAGGCTAGCGGGCAGGACAGTGCACATCCACCGGCCAACGTCGCTGAGTGCTGGTTCACGCAGAACGAGTCGATACGTAAAGGTTTCCTAACTACATGTAGTTGCTGTAGTTGTGTAGTTGGCATTATAGTTTTATACGCCTTGACTTGGCGAGACTAGCGGGTGTGACCGTCTTTTTAGACGGTCTGACTTTTCTTCTGTACCGATAGGCACCTACAGGTGGGAATAGGCACTTAGAGTCCAAAGACTTGAGGAAAGTTATATTATTGTGTAGTTGGCGTATTACAACCCATCTAGGCGAGGCTAATGTGTGTCGTCTTTTTTACGGTCTGAGATCGCTTCAGTGCCGATATAGGCACCTAGAGGCCACCGCCAAGGAAACGCATATTATAAGAAAGACTTCATAACTAGAGTTCGATGATCTCATACCTCCATGACATGTGTCTTGCTTTCATAAATCTTACGCATGGTGATGACCACCTGTAATTGGCTTACATTTTTCACCGCATATATTCAAATTATATGAGGCCATTTGCATATATTGTATCAATTGATCATACTCTCCACCAAATGACAGGGTTATGTTAAGAAATAAGGCTATTCTAGCGTTTCCTCATAAATTATGCAAATGAGGTCCTGATTGAAATAAATTATGTTTAGTGATGTTCACCTTCACTGAACTTCCAATTATGGCAAGTATTAAATTCCCAGCAGTTACCACCATAAAATTGTACCAATTTGCCATTTATTATGCAAATTAGGTCTTCCTTTACAATCTGCCAATGATCTTGCCGTTCTCACTAACATATGTCTATAGAGTTTTATAGCCCTAATATGAAATACAGCTGATTTATAGAATTTCCTCATTAATTATGCAAATTAGACCCTGATTTGCATAATTATATTTTGATTATATCAAGCATCACTTAAGCTACCTACATACCAAAAATCATGATGATCCATCAAACGGTTGTTCAGTTATCCTCTTTCGAAGATTTTCAAGGAAACCACCCTGCAGTTCCAGAACAAGCCGCTAGGGGGACCAAACTCACGTGACTTCTTCCCGAGGACAAGAGCTACCTTCCATCCAAATATCATGACCCTAGCATGTCCAGATCGCGAGATATCAAAACCGGAAGTTGCGCTGCAGTACCAAGGGAAGCCACTAGGGGGCCCAAAATCTAATCATTTCCAGTTTTCGTCACATCCTACCAACACACCAAGTATGAAACCAATCCATCCAGGCGTTCTTAAGTTATCTTGTTGACCAACAGACGGACAGACGGACAGACGGACGGACAGATAAACGCAACTGAAAATATAACCTCCATGACACATTTCATGGAGGTAATAAACTACAAGTAGTTGCTGTAGTTGTGTAGTTGGAGTATCAGGCCTAGCCTTGGCGAGGCTAGCGGGCGAGACAGTCTTTTTTAACGGCATGACTTCACTTCTGTGCCGATAGGCACTTGGAATCCACCGCCTTGAGAAAAGGTATATGATAAGAAAGGCTTCCTAATGCTTAGGTCACAATTCAAGAAAGGGGCCCTCTCGGCGCGTGTTCGGCGTGTTTTTTGGCACTACCGAACGGGACCTGGACGGAGACCGGCGGGCTTCCCGACGGCTGCCGGCCTATTTTTGGCTCCGCGCGGTCGCCGAATCGATTTTAACTCAGAGTTAAAAACACTTCGGGCCCCGTTCGGCGAAATACGCCGAAGCGACGCCGTAACCTCACTGCCCGGGACCCGTCGGGTGGCCGAACAGGCACCTGCCTAAGATTATGACGTCACGTGTGCTGATCAGTGCATCAGATGGTCAGGAAAAGGGGGTTATAGGGAGCATATATAAACTCCTGCCTCAGACTACGTCGCACAGTTCACCACGTGTGTGTTACATCGTGTACTTGTGTGTGTTACACCTTGTATTTGTGTGTCAGAATGTCGAAGGGCAAGGGAAAACAGCCGGCACGGCTCTCTTGCCAACTTCATAAAACAGATCATAACAGGAATAGAATCTGTCTGACATTATCTCTTGTTACATCATATGCCTTCGTAATAAAATGAAATCAGAAGTTATTGGCATTTATTTTCAGTCCAAATTTCAACAGAAGTAACGATATTCAGTGGTTTTATTGCTCAATAGCAAGGAGCTGCCACGGCACACTTCCTGCGTCACTGCTGAAGTACTTCCTGCGTCACTGTTGACGTACTTTCGAAAGTAGGCCCTCGGTTACTTTTGCGACGCACCAGTTCTGCCTGCCTCTCTTCTTCAGCTACCAATGCCAGAAGACCTACATGTAGGTTGTCACCAATCTCAATCTCAGACGGGCTTGTAAGTTGTTTGCAGGTTGCACTGAACGCTGCATCGCCAACTTCAGTCTACTCTTTACTTGACGTGTACTCTTTACTTGAAGTTAAGTGAACGGTAGCAGGCAGTGCAGCGCTTATATATGTACCTGCTCAAAAACACGAGAGGAGCCCGTCGGGATCCCGCCAGGAACCCGCCAGGGACCTGACAGCTGCCCGGCCGAACTGTAAGAGCCGGTCGGCACCCTACCACACGCCGCACGGGTCAAGACGGGCGACTGACCGGGCACCGGACGGGTCCCTGACAGAAACCGGCCGCAAAAGTTTATGAATATTAATGAGAGCCGCCGGCCGGAGCACAAGCAGGCCCCGACAGGAAGCCGTAAAGGAACATTTAATTGTGACCCTGACAGTACGGCGCACGCTCGGCGCCATGACGCCGGCCGGCGTCTACGCCGAGGACATGCCGAACGGGCGCCGTTTCAAATGTGACCTAAGCATAAAGCTGGAGTCACATTTGAAACGGGGCCTGATCGGCATGTTCTCGGTGTTGGCGCCGGTCGGCATCATGAAGCCGTGCCTGCGCCGGCTGTCAGGGTCACAATGTCAATGAAATGTTCCTTTACGGCTCCCTGTCGGGGCGCTGAGGCAGCTTGTATTTAAAATTCACAAACTTTTGGTCCCTTTAACGGCCGGTTTCTGTTAGGAACCCGTCCAGTCCGGTGCTCAGTCAGTCTGTTGGCAGAATGGAACCTTCTCTCGGCGGCTATGTAGGATGGCCGGCTATATTGAAATAACGCGTTAAAAACTCTTCCCCACCGCCGCGGGGCCTGCACAGGAGGCTACTACAGGGTCCCTAGCGGGGTGGGGGTGGGGATGGGGGGCGATCCTGGCGGGTCCCAGACTGGTACGCCCCTGGCTGGTATGGTGGGTTCGCCGCTGGTTGATGCGCAGACCCGTGTACGGTCACTACGGCTTATTGATGATATGTCGAGAACATCACATTTTACCCTCTATAACCTTTTTCTGATCGTTCATAACTGTTGAATAATCACCGAGCGGTTTAATCGCCACATGCCCGCGTAAAATGGCGTCGTTGCACAACTAGCGCGACGAGCAGACAAAGTTAAAAGTTGGGCCGTAAACTACACATTAGCCGAAAAGATATCAATAATGAGTTTTTTTCAGTTCGAATCGAATCTGCATGCGTGCACGTGTTACACACACACATATATATATATATATAGTGGAGTTAAACTTCTCGGTTAATTTTTGTACCGTAATATTCCATTGGTCTAATTTTGTTTATTATTTGTGATCATATAGCTTAGACGTTTGGGGAGGACTTTGGTTACCTTTTACCTCTGGGCCACGGGATTGATTTTCCGGGTTTCCGCTTGGTTGACTGGGATAGCTTCGTGTACTCAGTACCTTACCTTCACTGCACAAGAGTCCTTGCAAGACGACGGCTCGGCTGAGTTCAGCAACAGAAATGTGGAGAACTACATAAACAATAACTACCCCGACTGGCGGACTGCGTTTTACATGGTCCCTGATATATTCACCAATTCTGGGAAACAGAAAGATCGGAAAATAGCGGGAAATGAAGCGGAATGGCACGTTTACAGTCGCCTCCATGAACTTGGAAATGAACTTGCCAAAGAACAGGCTGGTAATCCAATGTTTGTCATTCACGGATTCAAATTCCGTCAACAAAGTGGTAGAGAAAAAGGGAAGGTGCTTGGTGAATTCGACTTTGTCATCGTGAGTAAGAAATATGGACTCATCTTCATGGAAGTTAAGGCAGTCAGGTCAGATAATTTTAGACATGATCGGTTCAGCAAAGCAAAAGGGCAGATGAAAAAGGCTCGAGAGGCTCTGTCATCGTATCTTCAAGACAAACTCCCACCTGATGCATCTACCGTTCATTTTACGAATCCAGTTTTTATTATGATGCCCAACTGTGCACCGAACTCAGGTAGGTTAAGTTACCTCTGCGAAGTCCTAATCATTATAGGTCATTATAATGGCATTATTTATTATTATTTATTAATTAAAATGAGCAAGGTAGTGCTAAAGAAATGATGTGAATGTGCGACAGGGTAAGACCCAATTTTAAGGAAACAATTGTTTTCACTTCGCCTCCCACTCGACCCCCTGCCTGATATTATCATTTTCTTGGATCTGCTACATGTAGCACTAGTAAATTGATCCCCTGGGCTGTCCCCTGGCCTTTCCCCCCACTACCACATTTAAAAATCATTGCGAAAAACACATATTACGGTCATGATATGTGATTATTTTTCACACCTCTCATCTGATACATCGATCGTTACACTGTTTCTCTGTTTCAAGAGTTCGTGCTTCTTTGTTTGGACCCCCCCCCTCTGTCTTTTGGTTTAAAACCTCTCATTTGATACAGTAAAAAGCTTTCTGAAGACTTCATAAAAAGGGCTGGTCTTTCATCTGTAGAGTTGCCAGGAATTTGATACAAAAAGACGGTGGGGGCAAAGATACCATTTAAAACTCTTGGTAAACTTTGACACAATGAAAAAATTTAATATACCTGTCCACAGTGCTGAAGTACCAGGTAGAAGTCCACACCACTGACCAGGAAGGCGCTGGGACAGACTCCAATGTGTACATCACCATATATGGGCAGAGGGGGGACACAGGGAAGAGACGGCTGATCAGATCACATAACAAAGACAAGTTTAAGCAGGGACAGGTGAGTGTGTCATACTTTTTCGCATTTCGTTGTTAAGAGTCATGAAATGATAGTAATGGAATTTATTAATTTCAGTCTTGCCATTTCACTTCTGTTTTACTGAATATGCCCCAAGCTTTTTATTTCAAGACATTAATAGTGTTGAGATTTGCCTTTTTATATTGTCTTGACAGTTTTGCTGCTTGTGTTGTAGATGGACCTGTTTGAAGTGGAGGCTGTGTCTCTCTGGGGGCTACAGAAGGTTGTTATCGGCCATGATGGACATGGACCTGGTCAGTGTTTTTCACAAGTCCCCTGTTCAAGTTATGAGGAACAGTTAATTTAACAATCATCACTAAGCTTCTCCGACTTTCATTACTTTAAGTCAAATTCACATTCTTGTGGTATATAATTGTGCTAATCACTGGCTGTAGTGTAAGATAGGCAAGGAATAACAGTTACTGTGATCATGTCTTGACAAGTGTACATTGTAATTGAAAGCTAAGACCCTATTATCTAATAGACCATGTCCTCTTTCCACAGTAGAAAACAGCAATCGACGTTGTATTACAAGTAGAAAATGTGTTTGAGTCAGGATAGATGATGAATGTGTTTTGTCCTGTCATCAGGATCAGGCTGGCACCTGGACAAGGTGGTCATCAGAGGGTCTCCTGAAGCAGACAAGGAGTACATCTTCCCATGTAAAATGTAACTGGCTTCATTATTCTGCCTTCTCCATCATCTGTTTTCAATATATAAAATGCGTTTTTTTTAGTTGTGATTGGATTGTTTGTTTTAGACAAGATGTACATTGTGTTGTACAGGTGGCTAGATGAAAATAAAGATGACAAGTTAACAGAGCGAGAACTGCCGGTAGAAGTGGAAAAATCAGATCGCGTTAAGTCTCCTGACCTCACCCAAGCCTCACCTTCACCAAAGGAGACCACAGACAACAAACAAGGTAGATTAAATATTCTACTGTACACAGTAAAAAAACTACAACAAAACTAGAAAGACCGACATTTGCTTGGGAGCAAATACAGCATATTTCAGTCCATCTCCCTCCCACGCAAAAGTGGACTATTCCAAACTTACCCCAGTGCAAAACTGGCAAAGGTTCTCAAATAAATGAATTAGATAGTAGCTATATGAGAACAAAGATGCAAGAACAAGTACTTTGGATCTCGAAAGCTTTACTAATCTTATTATCTTATTACAGGTATGCAAATACTAACAATGATGAGATTTGATACATTTTGAAGGTCTTAGGCACATAAAATTGAATGTGCGGGTCATTACGCACGACTTACGTGCAATGTGACCCAGGGTAACCCGCAATGGAACACGTGTTCCATGGCCAACGGCAGATGGAATGGGCCATTCTTTAGATAGAACATGGAACGGATACAGCACTTTTGGCCCTTTTTTGCTGAAAATAGCCATTAAAGTCCCCCAAATGAGTCATTTGGAAGTGGTGTATGCCAAATACATGAATGCTATTCTGTAGACACACGTTCAAGGTACCCTTATACCGAATGTCATATCATTTGGTTGTAATACCAGGGCTCAGGATCCAAAAATCCATTTTTTGGCGAAAAATGCCCCAAAAAACCTTCATAAAAATTTTCAAAGGCATGTTTAAAAAAAATGAAAAAAACGTCTGGGGGTATTGGCCCACTCTACCTCCATGCCAAATTTCAAGTCATTTGGCTAAATGATGGCGGAGTTGAATCCCTATGACCGAGTGGCAGGAGGAGGAGGGGAAACATGAGGGAACACAATATATTTCATCCATACCATGGTATGGACTGAAATATAACTACCTATTAGAATAATGTACTCATGCTGGAGTAGATATCGCGATTGATGGAAGTTTACTAGTAGCCATTGTAAAAAAAAAAATTTTTTAAGAATGAATGAAATAAAAACAACCACATTAATGAGATGTCAAAAAGAATTTGCATATTCTTTTGTCTTTTAATGTGACTTTTGTTTTGGGTTGTATATAACCAGACATGAACAACATTCAACTTAATTCATGACAACTGGCTCCTATGAAGTATTTTTTGGTCCCCCTTAAGATGACTGGACAGTGAGAATAACGACCAGTGAGGATGAGAATGCAGGCACAGATGCCCAGGTCAGCCTGACTGTGTACGGGGACCAGGGGAACTCAGGACCCCTGCAGCTGGGGGGCGGAGAAAGCGGCTTCTTTGAGAGCGGGAACATAGATGTAAGTGTACATGCATATAAAAAAGCACTTTTCTTTTCTAGAAAGTTTGTGACTGAGGATGATTTACATCTTGAAAGAAAGTTACATTTTTGTTAAAGCTGTTGTTGCCCTCGTCCCTAGGTGAAAATGGGAGGTGTTGGAAAAATCTACAAGATCCGACTAGAACATGACAATAGTGGAACAGACCCAGGGTGGAAGGTGGATAAGGTACGGAACATCAGGATCGATATACCTGTTCTGTTAGATGTTATGACTGGACATTAGATGGAGAATGTCCCGTTCCAATCCTTGCAGAAAGGGTGCAAGCTCAGGAAGTGTATATTGTATATTCATTTAACAAGTTACATACTTTATGAGCAAATACTACCATTGGCTTTTGAGACTTTCATACTTTGAACAACATGTTTTTGTCTGGATCTGCGCACCTATAAATCATGGCAAACATCAGGCAAACATCATACGGAGGTTGTATCCTATACGGAATCATTATTGTTGTTGTTGACTCGTCTTGTATTATGTCCCAGGTGGAGCTGTCCCACCCCAGCTCAGGTGAGACCCTGGTGTTCACCTGTGAGCGCTGGCTGGCGACCGACAAAGACGACGGACAGACCTGCCGCGAGCTGCCTGCTGTACAAGAAGGGAAGGAAACACTACCAGGTACAGCTATCCTAGCTGTTCATTTAATGCCCAAGTTTGTGGCACTAAAGCAGTATTCTCATACATTTCACTCCACAAAGTCAGGTATTTTTTGAACAGGCATTAGCTAATAGTCGGTTGAGTGATCTCTTAGCAAAATAGTTGAGAAAGTAGTTGAGAAAAAAATTTTATTGCCTGGAATAATCAGTCAATTATAGCGAAAATTCTAATGAACATGCAGAGCATGTCACTAACCTCTGCTAAGTACAATTGAAGTAAACTCGGTAGCATGCAGTATAAAAAAATATAATTGTAAATGAACCCGGTGGTAGGCCAAAAGCCAACACGTGCGCTCCTATCAAAACCCGAGCCCCTGGCAGGCCCACAATAGACTGGTTACCAGTCTGTACTACCTAAAACAAAACACTTTGCGATGTCAAGTTCTCGCAATGAACCGGTCAATCAGTGAAAATGAAACCATGAACATGTAAAGTTTTGGTAATTAGACATCCTAACATGCTGTCCCCTGGGCTTTTCCACCTCCATTTTGTAAGATCATTGCGAAAACACTTAAGCCTTGATTGTTACCACATAAAAGCAGTCTCTTTTTATGGCTTTACGTCTCCACTCATGTCTCTCTTTCTCTCAAAAGTTGTATTTTAGCATTGCCAGGAGGTCTCTCCTTCAAAATCTGCTATCTACTTATAAAAGTAGCAATGTCCTAAAACTAGACAAACTTTAAGGAAAATTGTTGCATTAATCAGTGGATTCTGGTAAGGTTGTTTGTATCTTGATTACAGCTATCACAGTACTTACCTGTCGGGTAGAATTAAATGTGAATCACGAATTCGAACCTCCTATTTCTACTTCCAAAAAGGATTGTACAAAGACGGCTGCTTCAAGAAAGATTGTCAGGACGCTAAGAGTCTCCGTGAGTGGTGGGGCAAGAAAATCAGCGTCATTGAGCCTTTGGACATCAGTGACGACCTGTACAAGTGTCTACTCTGCAGGTAATTTTTCTAATGGTTTTCATGAGTGAAGAGGAAAATCAGTTGCTCTATAAATTGTGTACCTCTCCCTCAATACATAAAGTTAAGATCCATCTAGAGTTCTAAGATCTCATACCTTTGCCAAATGATTTTAAACTTTCAGTAATACACCATGGAGAAAAGTGAGACGTAGTGAAACCAGGGAACCATTTTCCAACGGCTCACTATACACGTTTGTCCGCGGATTCTAGTGTCTAGTGTAGGGCCATTGGGCCCAGACCCTTGCAGTAGGTGATTATCTACTCGAGCTGTCAGCTGCATTTTCGCCAGATTATATGAGAGTCCTATCATGGAATACAAAGGATTCATAAACTTTCCTAATCAATTAGGCAAATTGCACTCTGATTTGATTAATAAGAATCTAATTACCTACACACAAAACTGACAACGATCCGTCAACCGGTTCTTCAGTTATCCTTCACATACATTCTTGGCAAAGGTAATAATAAGTGTTTTAAACATCATTCTTCGAAGACATTCATTGAATGTCATTGAAATGCTGACTTCTCGTACGTGCATGCATGCAGGTTCATTAAGTCTAGAAGTGCCGTTCCTGCCCTGGGAAAACAGGTAACTAGCACCACCAGTGAAGTCCTGCACATGTTCAACAGTCAGCAACTCGTTCTCCTGGACAACATTGGGCTGCCTCTGCACCTGCACATCACGGGGCCAGCAGGAAGCGGGAAGACTTCCATCCTACTGCACAAGGTACGAGCTCTCGACACAGACATCAGAAAAGCTGGGAAAAAAGAGACAATTCTTGTGCTCTGTTACAACAAACCACTGGGAGAGAAGCTCACCACGGAATTGAAAGAATGCCCCTGTGTTACAGTCAGAACTTTAAATTCCATACTGTACGAGGTTACCGGTGTTTCGAAACGCGATATTGATCCAAACAATTCAGAACAAAAATCTAAAGTCCATGAGATGTTTAAATTTGACCACATTTTCGTTGACGAAGGTCAAGATTTCACCGGTAAGTGGCAAAAGCTTCTAGAGTGGATCCAAGAAAACTCAGATTGCGAGAGTAAGTTTCATTGGATTTTCTTCGACAATCAGCAGCTCGTAAGCTTTAAAGCGACAGGACTTTCTTCTGACGAACATGACAAGGCGATTAAACTGCACAAGGTGTATCGGATGACACGCAGTGTTTATGACCAGTTCAAGAAGTACCTTAAAACAATAGAACATCGGTGCTCTATTGGACACAATATCTACGGCATGTCCATAGAGTGGGACAAAATGGGCAAAGAGAGTGACCCTAAAGATCTCAAGGTCGCCTGTGACCCTAAAGATCCCAAGGACCCTAAAGACCCTAAGGACCCTAAAGATCCCAAGGTCGCCTGTTACTACATCTCAAAGCATGTGAATAGTCTACTTGAGAAGAAGGTGCCTCCAAATGACATTTGTGTTCTCGTTCGTGATAATCAGAAGACTGCGGATGACATAAAAAAGAACCTCAAAGACAAAAAGAACAAGATGATACCGTGCCAGAATGCTACGGAATCTATCAAGAATCCGAAGAGAGACGCCATCATAGTGGATAGTATCAGAAGGTTCAAGGGTTTAGAGACCAAGGTACTGATCTTGTATAATCCCCCTTGTCCCGGCGAAGACAACGCAGTGGAACTGCTGTACACTGCCTTGTCTCGTTCTTTCTGTCTTGTTATCATCATCGCGCCTGAGGAGGTTATCCGGATCCTTCAGTTACAAGATGGCGGAAATGAGATGGCAAATAAATCTCATTTTAAGCAACATGACAAGAAAAGAAACCCGGCAAAGACAAAGTTGGTGAAGACTGTCTCGGCACTTGAGAAAAGATTTACGGATGAGGAACTGACTGGACTTTCGAGTAGCGAGATCAACACGATTCAACAGAAGTTGAAAGGGATGATAAAGGCGATTGAAGAGTCAAAGACATCACGACTACAGCACAAAAAGAGCAAGAGCTTGGACGAGCTAGCATTGAGGGCAGAATTGGGCATTGTCAAGAAGAGCTCGAGGTTAACGGCCCTTCGGCGTAAAACAATCTAAAGTGTCTGCTGAATGTTATGATAAGACTATCAACAAAAGCGCTCTACTATAAATATCATCAATTTTCCTATCTTATGTCACATGTTCAAGTTATATCATATTGAATCTATCATGAAAAGGAATACGAGGACATATTTTACACATGCATAAATGGACATGATATAAAACTGAAATTACCCACCGGCTTTATTATAACTGTGTTATATGGCCCTGCCAAATGGATATTTTCTGGGCTGAAAATCATAGCTATAGTAAAGGGACCAAAATAAATGTTGATAAAATTACATTTTATGTGAATCCAAAATCCAAGCATTGTAGTCCATGAGCCGGCGTTGCGCACTCATTACGTATCATTTCATATTACTACGTCCTTTGGCATCTACACTTTGTGCTTCACGTAGTTGCAGCACTTATATAAAATGCATACATGCAAGTTTAGTTTGTCCTTTGATTGGCCACTCACTAAGTCCCCCATTCCACTTAGTGGCGCTCTCATGACGCTCTCTCTGCTACCTGAAGCTGGTGTGTTACGCCGAAGGGCGCGGTTATACCGGCTATACAGATACAGAAACTGGTGTGTTATGCCGAAGGGCGCGGTTATACCGGCTATACAGATACAGAAGCTGGTGTGTTACGCCGAAGGGCGCGGTTATACCGGCTATATAGATACAGAAGCTGGTGTGAGACGGCGCTCTCACTGCGCTCTCTCTGCCACCTGAGATTGGTCGGAGCGCGGAGAGAGCGCCGTGAGAGCGCCGACGTCGTCAGGTTTTCGATCCAAATTAATGGTTTGGCCATTGTGCGCTCTCATGGCGCTTTCTCCGCCCCCATCGCTGTCCTTGGCTGTCCTTGGCGCTCTCACGCGTGAACCGCTTCTATACAGTCGCCCAGGCGCTCTGTCCGCGCTCTGGCCAATTTCAGGTCGCGGAGAGAGCGCCGTCTAAGTGGAATGGGGGTATAACTCACTCAGTCCCGTAGCTGTACATGTAAGCCGTGAGTTCTCCTCCCCTTGCGGTCATCAGCCACGCTGGTCAGCAAGACGCAGTCTCTTCAGATCACTCTTTGGCCGCTACATGCGCGCAATACTACTGTAGAAATAAACCATACATAAAATTTGAAGGCAAATCACCCAGTCTTGCGACCCTGTCGATTGTATTTTAGTTACAACTTCAATCGGCTGTTCTTCAGTTAAAACCTACAACAGTGAGCAGATTATTATTGGAATGAGCAGAGCACTTTGGACTAATCTCTCAGGCTGTTCACAGCTTAGAGGTACATATCCAATATTTTGTCAAAAACTTCTCTGTTACATAGCGGATCATAATGACCCCCAGCGGGGGTCTTCACGCTTCGTTAAAAATGAAAAAATCTCAGGATTTATTCCAAAGATCTCAATATTTTAGACGAAATCTTGAGATCTTATGAGCTCATGAGATAATCTCAAGATCTTTCAGAAAATCTTAAGATGAAAACGAAAGGTCTCAAGATCTTCCAAGATATTTTTAAACCATCTTGAAATTTTTCCATAGCATCTCGAGATGCTTTAAAAAATATCAAGATTTGTTTAAAGATCTCATGATTTATTAAGTAATCTTGAGATTTTTAAAGCATCTCGAGATGCTATGAAAAAATCTCAAGATGCTTTGAAAACAACTTGGAAAGATCTTGAGACCTTTCATTTTCATCTTAAGATTTTCTGAAAGATCTTGAGATTGTCATGAAAAATCTCAAGATTGTCTCATAAGATCTCAAGATTTTGTCTAAAATATTGAGATCTTTGGAATAAATCCTGAGATTTTTCCATTTTTAACGAAGAGTGAAGACCCCCGCTGGGGGTCATTATGATCCGCTATGTAACAGAGATGTCTTTGACAAAATATTGGATATGTACCTCTAAGCTGTGAACAGCCAGAGAGATTAGTCCAAAGTGCTCTGCTCATTCCAATAATAATCTGCTCGCTGTTCTACATAAATCTCACCACCAGCACACGTTTAAGGCCAACAATGGTATATTAATAGCAATGTGTTACATACCTTTTCTATTAGCAAATCAGATGGCTCATCTTGTTTCATTTTTGTTGTCTTTGATACATGTACTTGTATCCTGTATCGTATTAGTCAATCATAAAATCAAGGGCCACACAAATCTAACGTAAAACTCTAGATCTCTTGCCGTGAAATAACGGGAGACCTCGCTCAATATTCAGACAATAGACTAACAGAAGAGAACATACATCCTATCACATGCGGACGGTACATGGTTTGATATAACCTTTAATCCTCATTGAAAAAGGTTACCGGAGTCATATTAACTGAATGTACTACAGTAAAGATGGTAATGTGAGTGGAAAGTATTTCAACGCGAAGAAAAGATCTTGCAAATCGTATGGACAATGTAAGACGCGTCCTCAAGTATGCCTCAATGGTTGCAATCGTAATCCCAACTTAGTTGATGGTATCTTTTCATTTAGCAAGAAACGCAATAATCTCCTAAAACTTGAGGAAGTCTTGCAAAGAAAAAGATTCACAAATTCGATGCACAATATGAAACAGACTCCAACTGTTAGATCTATCCCCTCATTTTACCAGAAGCAATCCTGTGACCTCACCTCGACCATATCAAACTACGCGCACTGTTCTGGCTACTAACGTAACCTTACTCTTCACTAGAATCTTCTCCTAGTCTGACATCCAGCATTGTTCAGCCTGTGCCCTCCGGTAAATACTTCCCTATGATCTTAGGAAACAGATCGGATTCATGTCTATAAGACCCCGAGCTCAGACTACACAACCAGGGGGCATATGAGGACAGGACACCAGAATTATCAACCGAGAACTGGAGAGTTCAAAAACTTGCATTTCCCAAGAACTATCCTAGAGTGGAACTCGTTGCCCGAGCACAGTTGGGGCATCATCACTGGAAAGCTCTAAACAACTCCTGCAATTAAATGTGCAAAGATTGAGTGTAACAAGTCTTTCAGTGTGATATACATTGTAGCTATCTGCCGCGGCGCCGCTTGCCTGCGAAGCTGGTTTGTTACGCCAAAGGGCGGTGATACCGATACAGATACAGGACACAAAGGTGGACATATAAAGGCATTTAATGTCAACTCAACTGAACTCAAGTCTACATAAAGACTAAAACTGTTGCACTTTTAATATCCCCAAGCACAATGTTTTTTTAGAAGGAAGTTGGGGAAAACATTATACTTAACTAAAGAACCGGCTTTTACTGAAAGTTTTAACTTGTAACTTGTATGAGATAAATTAAGCCACTCTTCCAAGTCTTCTGCTGCTTAACCCTGTACCCAAATACAAATAAAGCACCAAGGTGCTTCCGGTAGAAAGAAGGTTGAAGTATGCAATTCTTATGTTCTGCAACATCGGCAAGAAATTAAACCAAAAGGTAAACAATAAGTTGCCAGGAACCCAGGATATGGTAAACCACAGTATGATGGTTCATTGTATTCTAAAGGCTTCATCTGAATGTTAATTATATTTCAGTCCATACCATGGTATGGATGAAATATTTATATTTCAGTCCATACCATGGTATGGATGAAATATATTGTGTTCTCTCATGTTTCTCCTCCTCCTTCTCCTCCTGCCACTCGGTCAGAGGGATTCAACTCCGCCATCATTCAGCCAAATGACTTGAAATTTGGCATGGAGGTAGAGTGGGCAAATACCCCCAGACGTTTTTTTTTTCATTTTTTTAAACATGCCTTTGAAAAATTTTTGTTTATGAAAAATTTTTGTTTATGAAGGTTTTGGGGGCATTTTTCGACAAAAAATGGATTTTTGAATCCTGAGCCCTGGTATTACAACCAAATGATATGACATTCGGTATAAGGGTACCTTGAACGCGTGTCTACAGAATAGCAGTCACGTATTTGGCATACACCTGTGACTTCCAAATGACTCATTTGGGGGACTTTAATGGCTATTTTCAGCAAAAAAAGGGCCAAAAGTGCTGTACCCGTTCCATGTTCTATCTAAAGAATGGCCCATTCCATCTGCCGTTGGCCATGAAACACGTGTTCCATTGCGGGTTACCTGAGGTCACATTGCACCTTTATAGTCGAGCGTAATGACCCACACATTCAATTTTATGTGCCTAAGACCTTCAAAATGTAGGAGATAGGCGCCGCCAAGATTATAAGCCTAAGGAGCCATCGTGACAAGTCCAGACATGCTGCTGGCTGTCATGGTGCCCCGACGACCGTAAAGGTTATGGGACTTACATACATACATACATACATACATACCATGGTATGGACTGAAATATAATAATGGACTCTTCGTTTTCACTTCTTCGCTTTTTCTTCCTTTCCTTTGGAATCGATTTTGACATTAGTATAACGTTATTCGTTTTCCAAAATTATTTTTTGCAATTTACGGCATATATTTGCTCATTTTGCAGGTGCCTTTTGCGATCAGTGTGGTCAAAAACCTTTCAGTTTTTTTTTCAAAGTTTTTTTTTGGGGGGGGACGGACGAAAATTCATGCGCGCGTGGATGTCATCCATATGATCAAATCAACATCTCTATCTCTATCTATCTATCTGTCTATCTATCTATCTATCTGTCTGTCTATCTATTTCCCTCTCTCTCCATCTCTCTCTCTTCATCGTCTTTCGGAGGTATATTCGTACGGCTCCCTCATTTCTACAGCCCCTCACATTGTGTTAAGTTTTATTTGGATCGCTCTTGTACAATACTAGTTTGATTTTATTGCTTTCTGTGACCGCTGTGGTCACATCTGCCGTCCGTGCAGGGACCCAGGAACATGGCAATGTTATTGTTAAGGTGCAGTGCTCTCGCCGTAGAAAGGCTGCCTCATCTGCACTGACTGTTCATAGTAGTCGTTGGCTTGTTTATGATCACCCAGTCGATTTTACTTTTAAAACATATCCATGCTAAGATA